GGGGTGGATTTCCAGTGAAAAGGCGATTATCCATTCCATGTCATTGGTTACTTTATGTGCTGCACACACGACTCCATTGTTCTTCTTCTATTCCAGAACATTTCCAGTAATTATTTTCCATGGATGGTGATTCAAACTAAAGGAAGGAGAGAAAAGTACACTGACATTTACCAAGACCTTGAGGGAATTAAGAGCGAAAGAGAGAACATCGGTTTGTGGAGGCTGAGGTCAAGGCCGGCTGACTCAGGAAACAAGTCTTGAAATCTTACAATGCAGGGAACAGAATCACGACAAAGTAAAATAACGTGATCTTGGAACAGTGGCAACCTCCACACATCTCTCTACATCTTGATAAGGAAAAGGAGGAGACATGGAAAATCCCCCAGAACCAGACTCCAATTCGGTGAATGGTCAGTCCTAACATCACAGCCACCAAGATGGGGCTCTACCGTGATGAGATCAGAGCTAAAAATGGAACCCGAATGCACTGTTTTCCCTGATGCACAGCCCAAGTCAGGCCCCAGGTTAGCTGATCTGCTGCCATCATCTGCTGGGCGGGTCCAGATTCCAGGGGAGGCCCCCAGGCTAGAGCCCATTTCACTGCTCTGCCATCCCCACCTGGTCTGCATTATGAGGGGCTCCTGCCTGCATGTGGACACCCCACCTGCATATCTGAGCTCCATCCATGCATCCCAGTTCAAGCCTAGGCATGGGCACACAAGCGGCCCTGGGGAAGATGGGAAGATGAATTCAGCACAGGCCCTGGCAGCCAGCTAAGGGGCATCTGGATAGACAATTCTAGAAAGGTAAGGGCCTGGGATCCAGGGGGCACATCCCCTTTGCCCTGCAGACTCCTTTCCCCATCAGAAGGCCAAAGTGATTGCCTCTCGGAACATATGATCTTAAGTCTCTTTGGTTCAGAGCTCACACTTCTTATGCTACACCAAATGTGAGCTCTTTTGGTCTGTTTTGGTCCTCTACTGCTTCCTTTCAGGGAACAGAGCTGAAGAGGGCAAGACTCTGGTGGACCAAGACCAGCCTCTTGTAAACCATGTGACCCTATGCAGTGACTGATCTCAGACTCATTCCTGTGTGTACAAAATAACAACCGCAACCAACCTTACCACATTGTTGGAGGGGCTCAGAGGAGATAAAAGTGTTAGGCAAATAGGATATCTGTTTTCCTATGGAGAGCCAGGGTGGGGGAATGGCCCTGGGCCTGTAGAAATGACCACAGAACTCCAAAGTCCATTTAGGAATCACACCTCCCTAAAGGACAATCTTAAGGATTGAGCAAGAAAGGGTGTGCAAAGTCATCAGGCACACAGGAGGCTCCGAGATTAATGAGGGAGGTGGTGGTTGTGACTGGCAACCATTCCTGGTGTCCTCTGTGCCAGGTACCTGTAGCAAATACTTTGCTAAATTGTATATTTTAATGAGCACAGTAACCAAAGAAGTTAAGCGTGGTCTCCCCAAGAAAATGAGGCTGAGGTCATATGCCTTGTGAACAAGCAACAAGGCCAGGAATGGCAAGTGGGTCTGTCTGCATTCCAACCCTTTATCCCACCACACTCAGCACCACCCAGCTGGCTTTCTCACAAACTCTGGAATAGTTCATTCACAACACGCTTAGCTACTCACAGCAGGACACCTACTCACAACACACCATGCTGGATCAACCACTGAATTGCTAAAACCGGAGACCCTGGGCCACCTGCTTTGCCAACAGGCACCCGAGAGTTGTTGCATTCCCATCAACTTAACTCATCAAAAAATCTGTATCTGGGAACATAGAGCTTGCTGGGGGACCAACCAACTAAAGTTAACGGGAAATAACTGCAACTTTTGAGGCACTTTACCAGGAAAGCCACATCCAGGTACTTTTGAACCAAAAACTCATGACACAACCACCCAGAATGGTTGCCAGCAATGATGGAAATGAAAACAAATGCTATTTTCACAAGTTGCATGCTTTGTACACTGAGTGTACAAGTGTTTTTGAATTCTCTGGTCAACAAAAACAAGAAATTCTGCCACTGCCAGGCTGGAGGTGAACAATAGCCCCATCTGTCAACAGGGGCAGCCCAGGGCCTCGTAGAGCAGACCCCTCTCCTGCACTGATGGTGCTGGGACAGTTGCCACCAGGTCTCTGGAGATTGCCCCTTATCCTCAAAATGTTAGACCTTTTATTTGCAGAAGACCTCATCTGAGCATGCAGGAGCCCAGGGAGACTATGTTGAACCTCTGGACCTGCAAATGCAGGGCGCTGCTACAGGAGGAGTGTGCGGCGGTGCCAGGCAGCTGGGGAGTTGGCAGCTACTGCCCTCCTTCTTCCCCTCTTGAGGAAGTGGCAACGCCAAGGGGCCAATCTCTTTAAATGCCTTCAGCTACCAGGTCTCAGCAGCACATTTGGGGCACTGGTGCACCCCATGCCCTCCCTTCCCTCTGGAACCTGCTCTTGGAGGTTATTAAAGAATCTCACTGAAGGGGATAGCCATGGGACATGAGCTAAACTTATGGCTTCATCAGTGCCCCTTTGGGGATAACGTGCCCACAGCCTTACAAAGTATTTTGCAATGACACCCGATCCTTCCCCCACCCGCACATGCTCTGAGATAACCACACAACTGGTACTTTTAAAATAGCAAATGCATGCAGCAAAGGGAAGGGCTTTGACAGCACAGACTGTCCTTCCATGGTGGCCTCCTGCAACTGTCCTGCAGCACACCAGAGAAGGCAGGCTTCCTCTGCGCAGGGAGCACGGTGCGGATGGACCCCCAGGGGAATCCTCACAACTGAAAGGCAAGTCACAAGACCGTCTTCCTGTCATTAGCAGCCCCTGATGCCTCGGGAACACACTCCTGACCCGCAGGTGGCTCATCTGAACAGGCCAACCTGGCAGGATGACAGCGGGAAGATCACACACCTCTGAAAGGACTAAGAGGACAGGAAGCTCCTCCTTGGGGGCCTCTTAGGTGCTGGCACTCATAGAAAGGGTAAACCAGGCCAGACAGGACACGACACATTGGCCGTTTTTGACGTGACTGGTTCGGTGTTCTCTGGAGATGCCCCCAAGATCCTCCAAAAACAATTAGGGCTCAGTGTCTCCTAATCCAACAGCCGGCTTCCAGGATGTAAGCCCACAAATGCATATGTAAAAATCGCATTCCCCCCACCACCATCTCATTTTCAAGCCTTTTGAATCCCCAGGAACCACACACCCCCGTGGGTCTCCCACCCTCCTCCACAGCCTGTGTCCAGGTTGCTGACGGCATCACATAAGGCACCTGGTGCCTCCATAACAGAAAACATCCAAACCCAGTGCACACGTGTGGTTTGGGTCTAAAAGGTTTTTATTTGAGAGGCTGTAGAACTGAAGTTCCTCCAAGGATGTGGAAGGTCGTTCTCAGCGGTGGCTGCTTCTGCCAGGACCAGTAGCCGGTGAACACCTGGCAGGCAGAGCCCGGTGTTTACACATAAGGCAGAAGAATCCGGCTTTTCTCTACAACTCAGCTGCAGTTGTCAAAAAACAAGCACAAGCCAGCAGTTCCAGTTCAAAGGTTGAGAGGGCGCGAAGCTGCTGGGTGGCCAGGCTGCCCTGAGTCACCACTGTGGCCAAGAGGGCTCAGGAGGGGGATTAAAGCAACCGGAGCTGCAGTTCTGTTTCCATTTCCCAGCCCTCTGGCAAACGGAAGGGGGGAAAGGAGAAGAAAAGTCATCAGAGAAGGTGAAGTATGGGGGAGCAGAGGGGCAGCCAGTGCTCCCTACGGCCCCGTGACACAGGGCTGCACATTGCTGCCTGCAGCGGCCTTCCCAGGCGTGCCCTCTGTCCTGCAGACGCAAGCTGCCTTCCTCACAGGTGGGGGCCCCGGAATGCCTGTACCCAGGTAAGCCTTGGAAACCAGGGGACCCCTGGCATCCGGGCAGCCCCGTGTCACGCATCCCTACTATTCTTGGGAAACTAAAGAACCAGAAAGTAGAGGTAAGTCTGGAAAGGCTGGAGTCTTCATCCAAAACAGCAGAGCAGGATGACAAACAGGCAAATACACAAACCCTGGAGCAATGTCAGAAAGGAAAGGGGGAGGATAAAAAAATAAAAGACACCTTTCTAGAGAAAAGAGACTCCCAGGGTCTCAAAGGCACTGCTAATAGACCAGCAGAAGCACACACACCATTCATTGCAGCAAATAACCTCAGCCCTGGGAGCACAGCTGAACAGGAGGCTGCTATCAACCTGAGGAGTTTCCAGAAGCCAACAGACTTCTGGCTAACACCATAGATGAGCCCTCACTTCTCAGAGATGGGCGACTGACCCGGACCCTGACCCCACATCTGTGGGAGGGGTGTTCCTGTAGAGGGCCCCTGGGCCCAGCCCTGACTGACTTCAAATCCTGTTTCTGTTTTTTTTTTTTTTCAGCCAACCAAATCATCACTCATTTAAATTACTTTTTTTTGTTTGTTTTAAATTAAATTTCTAGAACAAATAACACAGAACTTCAACAGAGCAGAGAAACACCAAAAAAGCACAAAGGATGTCGTTACTAACCAAAAGCTGCCTGGAGCTTTCCTTTCCCTTCAGAGAAGGAGAAACTATTTCGTAGGTATACACGCTATGCATGCACACCGGGACACACACACACACACACACACACACACACGTCTTTCCCTGATACTGGAAATTCTTTGTGAACTAGCCATGGCTATTTCTGCTGAACCCTTTACAAACGAAAAAAAAAAAAAAGGAACGAAAAGGACTCATACCTTGTCCAGTTCTGGAAGGGGCTGACTAGCTCTGAGAACTTCGACTTTGAACTTTAACACGGACATCACCAAAATAAGACCAGGAGGACCTGGCCAGGCTACAAAGACACCACGGGGACAGACAAGGTCTAACACAGAGATCCAGGAGGAAGAATTTCAGAAACCCTACACGCACGGCTGGAGATCCTTCAGGCTTTCTTAAACTCTTGTTCCTCCTGCTCTCTTACTACTGTCAGCAGTTGCTTTAAAAACATTTTTTTTAATCAATGTGTCTACCCTTCACTGCTTAGCAAGACAAGAAAACCTGTCAAAAGGGGGAGAAGAAATGGTGACACTTTAAAGGGGCACCCACAGGGTGGCAGAAATGACTCTCATGTGGTGATCTGGAAACAAGCTTGATGGTGACACTCTGAGCAGATGTCCAACACGCAGCATGGAGCCAGAGTTGTATAAGTAATGTGTGTTTTGGTTTCAACAGCTCGGACGGGAGAGAGCTTCCAGATCCTTCACACCCAGGCTGCAGCTGGCCAACTTTCCACAGGATGCCAACATGCTGGCAGGCAGGTTTTACCTAAAAGGAAGGGAAGAACAGGAGTCAGCGCCTTTCATCAGGGCCCCATCTAACATCTCCATCGCTTGTCTTTTCAGCCCTTGAAAACTCAGCACAGCCCAGCCACAGGACCTTTGAGCATGCTGTTTAGAAACCACACCCACTCTTCTGACTGAGCCCTTGCCTTCCCCAGCCCCCCACAGCAACCCACTCATACACAACCTATTTTCTCTCTACATATCCCTGTCTCAGCACTTGTACAGGTGTTTACACCAGGTGATCAGAAAAGCTTTCTTATAAAGGTCTAGCAGTAACTATTTTAAACTTTGCAGGTCCTGCAGTCTCCGTGGCAACTACTCAATCCTGCTGTCACAGTGGAGAAGCCGCCACAGACAGTACAGAAATGCTTGAGTGTGGCTGTTTTCCAATAAAACTTTATTTGTGGACACTGAAATGTGAATTGCGTATGTCTTTTTCACCACATAACACTGCATTCTTCTGTTGATTCTTTTTCAACCATTAAAATGTAAAAATCATTCTTGGCACCTAATGAGCCATCTGAAGACATGCAGTGGGCTAGATTTGGCCCACAGGTCATAGTTTGCTGACCCCTGGCTTATGCAATTAGTGTCTGTCTCTTGCTCAGGGAAAATCCATGTCTGAGCTTGCTCACCTTCAAACGCCAGCACCAAACATGAGGGGGATGAGAAGTACACGTGCAATGCCTTAAAGTTTACAAACTGTTTCTATGCAAGGCATCGTGAAGAGGAGTCCAATCATTTTTTTCTCTGCAGCACACTGGAATAAGAGTTGTCTTGGGCCACACATTAAATACACAAACACTAATAAAAGCTGATGAGGAAAAAAAAAAGGTTCATGCATACTTTTCATGGTATCTGACACCACAGATAAACAGAAAAAGTCCTCACAAAATCAGCATGCAGCCCACACAAGTTAGACACCCCTGCAGGGACTTGGCAAAGGACGGAAAATCTGGCCAGTTAAAGCTGCCCCTGTCATCTATTCACTTTTAGTTATGGACATGTTATAATCATAAATGTGAAAATAATGGGGTTTGAATCGAACTTATTAAGTAACTTTTTTTCATAATATCACATGACCCCAAATATAAATATTATATCTGGTAGTTATTTACTAAAAGATGTAAACATCCTATTTTTAAGAAATAGATACTCGGCTCGGCGCCTGTGGCTCAAGTGGCTAAGGAGCCAGCCACATACACCTAAGGTGGCAGATTCGAATCCCCAGCGCGGGCCCGCCAAACAACAATAATGGCTGCAACCAAAAAATGGCCAGGCGTTGTGGCCGGCGTCTGTAGTCCCAGCTACTTGGGAGGCTGAGACAGGAGACTCGCTTGAGCCCAGGAGTTGGAGGTTGCTGTGAGCGTGATGCCATGGCACTCTACCCAGGGGGACAGCTTGAGGCTCCATCTCAAAAAAAAAGAAAGAAATAGATACTCAAAATTTTTAGGCCATGATATATGTAACTTGCCCTTGAATGGCTCAGAAAGAATCAGCACACACAGACACACGGCAAGCCTAAGGCGAGTGGGGCAAAACGTCAACAGGAAAATCTGGGTAAACGGGTACGAGGGTGTTCCCTGCACTATTTGTATTTTCACACTGTTTGAAATTTGTTCCCAAATAGTTGTTTAAAGGGAAATCAATATGGCTATCCTCATATTAGCCACTAAGGTCCCCTATTCAACATTCTAAAGGAAAGAATAGCCCACCAGCAGCCAGGCTGCCCAGGATGGCTTCCTCACAGCACCCATCAACCCATCTTCTGAAGGAGGGGGTGCGGCTAGTCACCCACCTCCAGCCATCATCTGGGAGTCCGAGCATTTGCCCCCCCACACACTGACAAAGGGACAGGGACCCCAAATGTTAAGACTCCCTCAGGCTGCCCAGTGCATTCCACTACAAGTTCAACGCCAAGGACAAGGGTAGGGGTAAGGGGACCAGGAAGGAGTGGTAAAGCTTTCAAAGTCCAAACCAAGATCCGAACTAGAGGGAAGGGAACTGACACTCATGGCTACACCAGAACAGAATGGGAAGGCACAAAGGAGCCACCCGCAGTGTCAGCAGCGATAATAAGGCCTGTCCCATGAGCTCATGGAAAATTTGCCTCTGGTGACACTGCACCTTCTGGAGGATCCCTTACCTGGCTCTCTACCCTTATCCCATCCAGTGGGTGGCCATTTACAACCCTCTGCTTTTGTAAACACAGGGTGGAAAACAATGGGGCAGAGAGGAAGCCCCAGGAGCACCTCCTAATGCCCCTTCTGCAGCGGCACTATCTCCAAGGCTGCTACTGGAAGAAGGGAAAGGACAGATCTTTCACGCACCTCCATGGGGAGCAGTCTGCGCTTGCACACACAAACAGCATCCACTGAGTTCAGCCCAGGGCTACTGGCTCTCTGTTTGGCCACATCCCAAGTCTGAGCAGTCCTGGTGTCCCTAGTTGGGTCTACAGGCTCTATGGGGTGACTGACACCCAGGAACAATGACATGGGGACAGGCTGTCTGTAGTAGAGGCTAGCTCTGAGGTCCTGGCTCTCTCAATATCACCTGGCTGTCTCCTGAGTCCACCTTGAGTCCTGAAGCTTTGGGGTCCCCAGGATGGTCCTGGGGGGCAGAAGCTCAAGGCTGCAGCCCACCCAGTACTGCTACCTGGGTTAAGCTTCCCCGTCTGCACCTGCTATGACTTCTCCCTGAAACACCCTCATGCCTGTCTGCCCCCCAAGACACCTGGGCTCACTTCCTGGTCCTCTCAAACTTCACTTACCCTGGGAAGAACTTCCTGCCCACCCCTGGCTGCCCACGGCATCCTGTTCTTCGCTCTGTTAGGACCCTTGCCAGGTAGTCTTAGAAGTGGCCGAGTTCCTGGCTGTCTTCTGCTCTGGACACGGTTCACAAGCTAGACACATGGCAAGGGTGGTGAGTGACTCTGAGAGACCTCCATCAGGCCCCTGCTCATCCCCCAACTTCAGAAAGACCATCAGTGCTGACTGCTCCCCCTCCCCTGCCAAATCTCCAGAAGAACTAAAGCCATATCTGGCTGCCATGACCCAGGCTCATCCAGATCCCAACTGTCATGCACACCGATGCTGGGTTGTAGGACAAGGGGAATAACGTGCCCCGACTGGTAACAGTCCTACATTGTATGAGCAGCTTGCCTGGCAGGTGAAAACAGTCCTCAACACAGGAGCACCTGCCTCGGCATCTGTCAGTGGCGTGCAGCACCCCAGGAGCTGACCTCTTCATGCAGCACACAAGGACGCCCCGGGAAGAGGCACAGTGGCCTCAGGAATGAATGACAGAGAAGCCAGAGGGAGGAAGCCTGGCCCCATCTGTGAGTACGCTGAGATGGACAGGCATGAGGACACCCCCGGCATGTGTCAGGAGAGCCCCCCCCAGCCCTACTGCTTACATCCCAGGACACACAGGAAAAGAATATACGAAGAAATTGCCTTGCTTTTGCAAAAGTGCTGACACTCAGCATTATCTGTGGGTTGTTGTTTTTTTTTTTTTTTTTTTTGAGGGAGGTGTTTTGTTTGTGCCTTATTCTTCTGCAGCACTATAACTGTACAGAGAAAACTGAGTAGGTCAGATTCACTTAGAAGGAAGTTTTCGTTGCCACACAAATTCCCGCAGCAACACCACATATGTAGGCTCCATCCTACAGACATAAAACCCAGGGAGTGTCAGGTGCCCAGGCTTGGAGCATGACACCTTAACTGAGGACTGCCCACTGACTGCCACTACTGCTTTCCACAGGAACAAAATGTGCCATGAGGGGGCCATGTCTGACATGAGCTCTGCACTCTGCAAGGAAGAGAGCTGGCAGATCAGTATTCAAACTGGCGTGGGGATGGCTTCTGATGCCGGCTCAGGCCCAAGCAGGTGCCCTGACTCTCACGGGGGAGCCCGCAGGCCCGTTCTGGTTTCTTCCAGCTCAGGAGCTCACGGCACCTAACGTTTCCATTCCCACACTCACCCCAACTGTCCACTTGCTAGACGAAGTACGGAGGGGAGGTAAGGGCCTTCTGAGCCCAGCCATTCAGGGGTGCTTAGTAAGTAGAAGCAACCCCAAGAAGTCACTGCCCTGAGTGTGCTTAGCAACTGCCACGAGGGCGCCCCTGTGACTGGGAGCTGTGGCGTTTACTCTCACTCCCAGCTTACCCTGAAGGGGCCTCTTGCTACAACCTACACAGAATGCCCTTTGTCCCCAAGACAAGATGCCAGGCACAGGCCTCGGTGCTGCAGTGGAAACCTCATCCATTTCTAATTACGTTCCTGCAGGAAGCCCTGTCCACAAGAGGGCGGGAGGCAGGTGTTTCCAGAATGCATGTCCACAGCCCTTTGGGGCCACATCTTCTCCACGCATAAGAAGTGGGGCACAGAGGCCCTTCCCCTTGGCAAGGAAGCAGGACTGGCAGGAGCAGCAGTGCCTTCTCCCCTTTGGGCTGTGCTTGTCACAGCTGCCGGCCACCTGCCACACAAGCAGAAGGAAGTGCCAGCATCTGCCTCATCTCAGGGGACACCTAGAGGGTGGAACAAAGTCTCCTATAGTAAACCAGGGACACACAGAGGCCCAGAGCATCCATGCAACTGCACACTACGCCAACCAAGCTCACAGCACATGCAACCAAATCCAAACACCTCTTGAAAGATGGAAGCACTTCAAAACCCCAGGGTTCTCTATGCTCCATTTAGCAATCCTTTCTCCCTTCTAATTAGCCTTTTTAAAAACAGAATTAGAATTGGAAACTCCTATCTACAGACTCCCCTTTCCCACTCCCCACTCCCTTCTCTCCACTGGCCCAGAGGTCCTGTCTGTTACCCTGCCTGCCTTCCTCCTTGGTGTTTCCTACCTGGCTGATAGGTGCAGGCTCCAGGTCACGAGATGTTATCAGAAAGTTACACGTGTAACAATAACAGGCAGGTTACTGCCTTACAACCCTGGTGCCGAAAACATGATTTTCCTCTTTCCGCTCAATCATAAAATAACCCAAAGTCATGACTCAGCCACATCCGATTTAAATGTAGTCTGTTTTCTAATACGGATCAAAAAAATTGGGTTGGGCTACGTCCAAATAGAAAAAACAAATACCTGTGAACAAATGAGCCAAGTGGAGACAGAGAAGTTCCCAAGAACACTAAACAGAACATAAAACGGGGCTTAAGTTTTTGGTTCTTTCATACTTATTGACCTGAAAAGGTCAATGTCAGACATTGTTCAGGAGGGAACACATTCCAAACCAGCATGTGTCACACAGCCCCCACTGCTATAAAATGGAAGTTCCACGGATACATACCCACACACACTCTCAAGGTCAATGTTGAGTAGCAAGATAATAGGTCACTCTTCCTGCTTCTTATCTGTGATTTCCGTAACATACATTACATCTGTGACAAGAAAAGCTATTCCTGCTCAGTTTTCCTAAGTGGTCGGCTGCCTTTAGGCCCCGAGGAAGGGAGAGGTCTTCTGTCAGCAACTCCCTCCGTGTTCACACACATCCCGATTTTATTTCCACCATAAAACAGCACACGCTTCTAAAGGGAGCTCTTCAGAATGCACAGGGAGACAGGGCAGTGCCCAACAACGACAGGGAAAGTCTGTGGGAGGCAGACCAAGTCACAGAACAAATGTTTATAAAGGGAAGGCTGAACATGAATCAGCAGACTATTTGATGGAGGAAGTTTAGAAAGAAACAACAAAACATGCCCAAAGAAAGCTAGAGAAGGGGAAGCAGACATCAAGTAAAAACTGAAAATGATAGCAGAGAGGAGCAAATAAGCCAAGAGTTGGTTCTCCAAGTGTGCTGATAAACTCCCAGGAGGACTGATCAAGGAAAAGTAGAAAAGGCAAAAATAATCAGTATTAAGAAATGATCTACAGGCTGGGCGCGGTGGCTCACACCTGTAATCCTAGCATTCTGGGAGGCGGAGGTGGGTAGACTGCTTGAACGCAGGAGTTTGAGACCAGCCTGAGCCAGAGTGAAATCCTATCTCTACTAAGAATAGAAAAACTAGCCAGGTATAGAGGCAGGCACCTATCTTCCCAGCTACTTGGGAGGCTGGGCAGGTGCATTGCTTGAGCCCAAGAGTTTGAGGTTGCTGTGACCCCACAGCACTCTACTTAGGGTTACAGAGTGAGACTCTGCCTCAAAGAAAAAAAAACTGATCTACAGAGGCAACGTGGTTCCAATCAAAATCCCAACTGTTGTTTTGTTAAATGTGAAAAACTGATGTATGTAGAAGGACCCAAAGGCAAGGCCAGCCCCGGCTATGCTGCAGAATCCATCAGGGCAGGTGGAGAAGGCGTGCCTTCCCAGCCATGCACAAGCCATGAAACAAGGGGAACTCAGACTGGGACCCTGGTTTTGGTTCCACTTTCACTGCTACCAGGACCTTAGCCAAGCGACTCCCCTCTCCCTCGGCCTTCGAGCCCTCATCTCAAAACTATGCTCACCCCACCTCTTCCACTGAGAATCTCACATTTTCAAAGTCCATCCCAAAAGGACCTGAAGACCCACACTATAGCCCCGAAGTCACAAAGCCATTCTGACTTTCCTGGAGACCACCTTTAGGAAACACACTTGTCTTCAGAGCTAATGAGCAATTGCATCCAAGCAGGTACCCCGTCCACCCAGGTCCTTGGCTGTGTATATTAGTGAAGCTGAAAGAGATTCGGGTGCAGTAGTGTGCACTGGCTGCTGCTCCAGCCAGACCCCACACAGCCTGCGCAGGACTGGCTCAAAGTTCAACACTCCTCTTCTTATCTGAGAAAGTAGAGAATATACATGTCTCTGCCAGATTTCCAGGCGTTACATGTTCCGTAAAGGGCTCAGAGCAGGTCCCTCCACATACAGAGGGACCCAACATGCCCCAAGACCCAACACGAAACCAAAAACCAAGAACACAAAGACGCCAACACCTGGCCTAGAGGCGCTTCCAAAAGTGAACAAACCCTCCCACCAGCCGAACGTGGAAGCCTCTGCGTGCACCCCGCACCTGTATTTGATATCAAACACTGTGGAATCCTCATCCTCATCGTCCTCTTCGTTCAGCGGGGCCATTTCCACTCTCTCGGCCGGGGTGGTGATGATGTCATACTTGCGGGTCTTCTTCAGCCTCTTCCCGGACCTGGAAAAGGAGAGCACAGTCGTGAGAACACAGCTTGGAGAGAAAGAGCCCCTGAGCCCAAGCCTCAGAGGAAACGATACTGCTTGGTGGATGAGGCTCAGTGAGTTACCCTCCTCCCCTCCCATCTAGGAGCACGGTGATCCTCAGGGAAGGAAACCACACTGCGCCTCCAGCCTGGCTGCTCGCGGGAGACCTGGTTAACACCCTGGCTGTCCCACTGACAGCCAAGTCCTTCTCACCCGTTACAGTCCTCACTCCTAAAACAGAGGTACCTGCTCGGGCACCAACAAAAACTCGATAATCAAGATAAATGATATATGACAGCAATATTCTTTTTTTTTTTTGAGACAGAGTCTCACTCTGTCACCCTGGGTAGAGTGTCACAGGGCATCATAGCTTAGAGCAACTCAAACTCTTGGGCTCAAGCAATCCTCCTGCCTCAGCGTCCCAAGTATCTAGGACTACAGGAACCACAACACCTGGTTAGTTTTCTGTTCTTAATGGTGATGGGGTCTCACTCTTGTTCAAGCTGGTCTTGAACTCCTGAGCAATCCTCCTGCCTCTCAAGTAGCTGGGACGACAGGCACCTACCACTACACTCAGCTAGTTTTTCTGTTCTTAATAGAAAAGAAGTCTCGCTCTTGCTCAGGCTGGTCTTGAACTCCTAAGCAAACCACCCACCTTGGCCTCCCAAAAATGCTAGAATTACAGGGGTGAGCCACTACACCTGGCCAACAGCAATATTTTTAAAAGGCAAAATTCCTATGAAAAATAAAATCCACAGTGAACAAAAGATCCAGATGTTCAATGACGACAGATGTATCACAGCCCAGCAGGTGAAAGCACCACTCTCTGGGGCATCCAAGGGGCATCTGGGTCAGAGCCTGGGCACTTTCTACTTGTGTGATCAGGGAAGGTCGGTTCATCTCCCTGAGCCTCCGTCTCCTCCCAAATGAACAGTGAACAGGAACAGTGAACAGGAACAGCCTCGCTCACCGGTGAGGGAGGACACGCAAGGCGATGGACCTAACGAGCTTGCACACAGGAGGCTCTTGGCAGATGCTGCTGTTCGTAGTGATAATAAATAGACATTCAATATACCGCAACCTTCCTCCTACAACAAGACCTCGTGAAAATGAGTCAATTTTGCCTCTGTGATGAGGAAAATGGTCAGAACACTACATTTTTGCCTGGGGGTAGTGGAGAATCACCATGGCCCTCAGAAAAAATGCTGAGACGGGCCACTCCTTCTCCAGCATGACTCCATGTGAGGGCTGCGATACTTAGCAGGACAGGGCTGGGAAGTTTATGATGCCGCTAGGGAATAACACTGTTACCATGATGACTGATGCGCTTTTCTTCTCTCCCTCCACTCTCTTGAACGGCTTCCTAACTGCTTTGTATTCTCTGGAGTCCCTCCTTTTAAAGAATATCTGATACTGTCTATGGGAAACCAGCCAACCCAAAAAGTTGTAAATGGGTCATTGAAGAATCACATTCTCCACACATTCTTCCTACAGACAGTAAGCTGATCTCAAATGGAGACTACATCGAAGACACACGTGAGATCTCTGCCCTCAGCCCCGAGAAACTCTTCCGTAAGTTTGCACAATGAATGAAAACAGAACTTCACTTTTGGGCTTTCTACACATCTCTTAGCCATCGCAATTTGCTCTTGTCTTACCTAGTACAATTTACCAAAAATATGACTTACCATACTGTCATGTCATTTATACTAAAAACAACCTATTGCACCCACAGTACGACTCCTCGTGGTTCCTTGGGCAGAGAAAAGGGGGTAAAAGATGAGGAGAGAATGAGAAAACAGGCATAAAGTCTGATGATCTCCAAGCCTCGTCACAAAGCAAATTTTCCTTCCTGCTTTCATCACAGGAAAGCACATACACACACATACACACACAGAGGCACGGGTGTGACTCTAACTGGATTCTGGAGGAAGCATGGTGCAGATGCCATTCCTGGTGGTCAGAGGGCAAGGCAAAGGGGCATGACCAGTCACCTCGCCAGCAGCCCTGGGACAAGGGTATTTTGGAAGCAGGCTTTGTGTGGGACTATAAATGCTCACCTTATAAATACTGTTGGTCCCACATTCGCTCCATCAACAGACTCTTCTTCCCACCTCCCCCTAAAGGAGTAAAGTAAGTCCCTGCATTCTGCCTTAGATGATTTATAATCCCTGACCGATTCCATCTCTAGTACTGGATGGGGGAAAGTTAAGACCAGAAATGGCTCCAAATGCCACATGCAATCTGAGACAAAGCCACAAGAAAAAACACCCATCCTCAAGCCTCTGAGATGAAGGTTGAACCCCAATCTACACAGAGCCACATATCACACCTCTCCCAGGAAGATACCCCTAAATCTCCAGCCAGATGATTCACAGCTCTTTGGAGGGAATGCCTGCCTTTGCAAAGGGGCACGACGAGGCCATCCATTTCCAACACACACCCAAATGTTAGAAAAGGAGATGTCGGCTCAGTGCCTATAGCTCAACCGGCTAAGGCGCCAGCCACGTACACCTAAGGTGGCGGGTTCGAATCCCCAGCCCGGACCCGCCAGACAACGATGACGGCTGCAACCAAAAACAAAAAAATAGCCGGGCGTAGTGGCGGGCGCCTGTGGTCCCAGCTACTTGGGAGGCAGAGGCAGGAGACTCGCTTGAGCCCAGGAGTTGGAGGTTGCTGTGAGCTGTAATGCCACGGCACTCTGCCCAGGGGGACAGCTTGAGGCTCTGTCTCAAAAAAAAAAAAAAGAAAGAAAAGGAGATGTCCTGTGAGCCTGAGGGCCTGGAAAAGGTCCCTCCAGGCCCTCAAAAAGACTGACACCCAGAAGGTTCCAGCCTGAGGAATCTGTCCTGTTTGTGACTCTTTTTCAGGTATCTTGAAGCCTAGAAAATGTAATATCTGATTTGCAAACCTCATAGAGCCCTTGATTACCATGTCCCCAATAATAAGACACTGTCTTATATTTATTTTTTCTCAAGAAGACACACTAGGGCTTATTTTCAGGGGATGTCTTATTTTTATTAACTATAATACAACAATCTACATTTATTCAAATACAGTTAAGTCATCTTCTTCTGGAACCTGACAGGGGGAGCCAACCTTGTTGGTGGGGCTGGAGCTAGTGATATGTGAACTCCTTTCCCCTAGCTATTCACACATGCGCAATAGGATGCCTGCAACCACGGTTACCACACGGGCACCCACGTAAGTGCAAACGGCTCTGAGAAAGGAGCTATGGCAGATAAAAGGTATTCCCATCTTCCTTACTGCTCACACCCAAATGCAGGGCATGGCTATGCAGATACGCTGCATAGCCATGCCCATCACTAGGTCTTATTATCAGGGTAGGGCTTATATTTAACAAATGCATAGAAATCCTGCTAGGGCTTATTTTGGTGGTAGGTCTTATTTTTGGGGAAACACAGTAACTTAACACCTTGTTAGTTACTGGCTCTGGGGCAGCACTGGCCTGCTGACCCTGGGAGAAGGCTCCAGAGCTCTGGCTTCAGCCATGACTCATGGGAGTGGAATCCCATTACCTATTTCCCTCCTTCTCTATAATCTTATAGATTGTTTATAGTCTTTTTTTTTTTTTTGAGACAGAGCCTCAAGCTTTCCCCCTGGATAGAGTGCTGTGGCATCACAGCTCACAGCAACCACTAAGTCCTGGGCTCAAGCGAGTCTCCTGCCTCAGCCTCCCAAGTAGCTGGAACTACAGGTGCCTGCCACAACGCCTGGCTATTTTTTGGTTGCAGCCATCATTGTTTTTGGCAGACCCTGGCTGGATTCAAACCCGCCACCTTAGGTGTATATGGCTGGTGCCTTGGGCACTTGAGCCACAGGAGTGGAGCCTGTAGAGTCTTATGAAAATTAGCCTATTGGACTAAAATAAGCCCCTTGAACACCTAACCCAAGAACACTATGGCCTTAAACGCTTTCATACCAACCTCTCCAACCACACAACCTCAGGAAATGAATTTAAACCACAAGACTACACCAATGGTGTGATGGTCAACATTATGTGTCAACTTCACTGGGCCACAGAGTGCCCAGACTTTGGATCTCACCTTATTCTGTGAGGGTGTGTCTGGATGAGATTAACAGTTGAATATGAGGACTATGGGTTAAGTAGATGACCCTCCCTAATGTGGGTGGGCTTCAGCCAATGAGGTGAGGCCTGAATAGATCAAGAAGCCTGAGCCTCCCTCAAGGAAAAGGGAGAACTCTTTCTGCCTAATTGCCTTCAAGCTGGGACATGAGGTCCCTCCCCCCCACCCCCCACCCCCTACCCCCGGCCTTTGGGTTCAAACTGAAGTATTAATCCGTTGTGTCTTCCCTAGAGCTCCCTAGGACTCTTTGCCTCATAGAAACAAAGAACCGCATGCATAAAATGCATTGGTACCAGGAACATGAAATTTTTGCTTAGGGCGACCTAAGCCTGTGAGGGGGCTTTCTAAGACTCCACCACACGAGACTGACTCTGAGCACGGGGCCTGAGGAAAAAGCAAAGACAACCACTACCATGGAGAATCTGATGTCACCTGGTCTCCTTATGGGCAGCGGTCAGCCAATAAACAGAGCCCTCACCTGATATGCCTTAAGGACAATATACCTGGTTCTAGAAAAAACCTAGGTCTGGAGTTAGACTTGGATTCACAAGCCAGCGTTCCTGCCTACGCAGGTGTCCCCTCCACTGCATGTGTGTGTGGCGGGG